CCCCTATGGGGCCCACGAAACGTGTGAGGGGTGTGCCGAAATGGTGGTGGGGAGGCATGCGGACCCTGCACTGGGGCCTTCGGTGGAGCTCCCTGTGGGGCCACGAAACGTGTGAGCGGTGTGCCGAAATGGGTGGTGGGGAGGCATGCGGACCCTGCCACTGGGGCCTTCGGTGGAGCTCCCTATGGGGCCACGAAACGAGTGAGGGGTGTGCCGAAATGGGTGGTGGGGAAGCATGCGGACCCTGCCACTGGGGCCTTCGGTGGAGCTCCCTATGGGGCCACGAAACGTGTGAGGGGTGTGCCGAAATGTGTGGTGGGGAGGCATGCTGACCCTGCCACTGGGGCCTTCGGTGGAGCTCCCTATGGGGCCACGAAGCGTGTGAGGGGTGTGCCGAAATCGGTGGTGGGGAAGCAGGCGACCCCTGCCACTGGCCTTTCGGTGGGGCTCCCTATGGGGCCACGAAACGTGTGAGGGGTGTGCCGAAATGTGTGGTGGGGAGGCATGCTGACCCTGCCACTGGGGCCTTCGGTGGAGCTCCCTATGGGGCCACGAAGCGTGTGAGGGGTGTGCCGAAATCGGTGGTGGTGATGATGATGATGATGATGATGATGATGATGATGATGATGATGATGATGATGATGATGATGGGAGGAGGGAGGGGGGGGAGGAGGAGGTGGGGAACGCGGGGCGCCGTCTCTTCAAAACGAGGACCCAACACCACAGGATGGTTGGGAAACAAGTACGACAGCTTGTCAAAATAAGACAAGAGGTACAATAAGACCAATAACGATAATAATACAACTAAGCGTAAAGACTGCGAATAAACATACGAATCATACGTATAATAAGAATACGACTGGCAATACACATGAGAAACTAAGAATAATAATCATGATAAGAGTGAGAGTCAGCAGAGTAATAAGAGTAATGATAAGAGAACTAATAACAGTAAGACGAAGACTCAGAATCTTAAGGATACGGATGACAATATTAATCATAATAAGACTACGAAGCATAACACTAATAACCATAATAATAATACTCAAACTAACGATAGTGATAACAACACATAAATAATAACAATAAGGATAAGATTGAGAAGTAAGAGTCAACATGATAAGAGTAATAGTAAGAGCAATAATAATACAAACAACAGCGATACGAATCATAATCCGATTCTTAAGACTGATAATGCTAAGAAAGAGGATATGACTGATAAAAATAATAATAAGACTGTTAATACTAATCACAATTCGAATAATAATGATAAGCGTAATAAGAGGCATAATACTAATCAGCACAAGAACAAGAAAAAGAGCTTGGCCTCATTATCCTCATCATCCTTGTCCTATACGGTTTGTATTTCCACCCCTGTTGAAACATTGCTTTTTCCCTGCCGTCGTGTGGGGTAGTGCACCCGAGGGTATCGCCCTCGCCACGCACGGCGCGTTATTTTAGCACCCGGCCCGCCAAAAATTATTCGCTCCCCATCGTAGGCACGGACGGTCCCTTTTCAAAGCTGTGCTCTCCCTTGCGTGGGACTTAATGTTTTTATTGTTGGTGTTGGCGTTGTTGGTGTTGTTGATGTTGCTGTTGTTGTTGGTGTTGTTATTGGCCTTGTTGTTCTAGATATAAGTCTTATTGCTGGCATTATTGCCGTTGTTCGTGTTGGTGCCGTGCCGTAACGGAGTCTTGAGGAGGAGGAGGAGGAGGAGGAGGAGGATTTGTTCTGTTTAGCTGGGCCAAAGCCTCTTGACTGAGGCCTTGGCCCTCGGCTTGATCCGTAATGGCGAATAATAGCCAACATATTGCGAGAATGTCTCAGGCGGTGTGCTTGTTTCGGCGAGCAGACTCGTCTGCGTTCACATAAAGGTGCGAGGTGTCAGGGTAACGTTTCTGGGGTGCCGGGTGCGTTATACTTGCGCCGGAGAAGGAGGGGGGGGTCTTACTTGCTACTCCGGGTTACTCATTCCCACTGAAGGCGAACCACCTCCATCTCCTCCTCTCCCTCCTCCCACCTCCCGTCTCCTCCTCCTCCTCCTCCTCCCTCCTCCTCCTCCTCCTCCTCCTCCTCCTCCTCGTCCTCCCTCCTCCTCCCTCCTTGTCCCTCCTTCTCCCTCCCTCCTCTGGGGGGCGGGCCTCCGGGTCGCCTGGCCGGCTGGACACGGGAGGGAGCAGCTGCGCGTGCACTACGCGCGGCCGCGCCAGCGCGGGGAGGACGATGGCGAACGCGGCGCGCTGGCCCGGAAGTATCACCTCCACGGCGTGGCGCTCCAGGGCCGCGTCCGAGAGGCTGCGCTCGAGGCCGCAGCCGCCGATGCCGTCGCCGCTGAAGCTCCTGGGCAAGGAGGCCCGGCATCGGATCGACAAGTCGGAGCGGCGATCGGCATGGACCGGGTCGGCTGAGATTGGCAGCCAAGTCGGGAGACACCATCTCGGCAGAAGTCGGCGGGTTATAGCAAGGCCTCAACGGAGAGACCGAGGCACGAGGCATGGAGCACGGAGCACGAGGCTTGCCGCTGTGGGCCGCGCCAGAAAACAGTCTGGGCATGGAGCATGTGACAGCATCGCGTGGTACACTACTGGCAAACAGACCGCCTGCTGAACACGAGGGAAGGAGGAAGAGGAGGAGGGAGAGGAGGAGAAACCGAGGCCCTGATGGGACTCCGAGGCGGGATCGAATCGGAATCCTGGCAGCGAGCGAGGGGGGAAGTGAGAAGGCGAGGGCCTTCTCGGAAGGCGGCGGGACTTCTCAGACGCCCTCGCGCCTTCAGAGGAGTGGTCCGCGCCCTCGCGGCAAGGCTCAGAAGACCTCTCAGAGCAGGCCGGGGGACCTCCGAGCCCTCTGAGAGGGCCCGCCCCTTCGCACTCCCCCCCGGGGGTTTTCGCCGCCCAGAATCGGAGGCCAGACATTTCCGCCGATGTGATGTGTTCCAGCCGCGGCCCCACAGAGGGAGGTCCCGACCCCTTCCCGCGGGGGCGGTGTTCCATCCCCGCTTCACTCGTGATGGTGCCCGGGCCCACCCACGGGACCGGGAGGCCGGACTCGAGGAAGGTCTCGCCGGGGTTGGAAAAATCATGCGTCCTCGGATCTC